ACATACATACACAGACACGTACATTAACAGATATACTGACACACACACAAACACATACACTGACAGATATACTAAAACACACAGACACATACACTGACAGACACATTGACACACACACACAGGCATACTGACATATACACAGACAGACGTAATGGCTGATACAGACAGACGTAATGGCTGATACAGACAGACATTAAAACATTCACAGATATATACTGACACACACATACACTGACATACAAATATATCCTGGCAGACATACTGACACACACACACACACAGACATACATACACACACATACACTGACAGACATACTGACTGACACACACATACACTGACAGACATACTGACTGACACACACATACACACACAGACATACTTACATACACACACAGACATGCTGACACACACACACAGACATACTGACATACACACAGACAGACGTACTGGCACATACACACAGACAGACATTAAAACATTCACAGATACATACCGACACACACATACACTGACACACAAATATATCCTGGCAGACATACTGACACACACGTAAACACACACACACACACTGACATACACACACAGACATACTGGCATACACACAGACATACTGGCATACACACACAGACATACTGACACACACACACAGACATACTGGCATACACACACAGACGTACTGACACACACACACACACACACACACACACACACACACACACACACACACACACACACACACACACACACACACACACACACACACACACACACACACACACAGACATACTGGCATACACACAGACATACTGGCATACACACAGACATACTGACACACACACACACAGACATACACACACAGACATACTGGCATACACACACACACAGACATACTGGCATACACACACAGACATACTGGCATACACACAGACATACTGACACACACACACACAGACATACTGACACACACACACAGACATACTGACACACACAGACATACTGACACACACACACAGACATACTGACACACAGACACAGACATACTGGCATACACACACACACACAGACATACACACACACAGACCTACTGACACACATTTAGCCACCCTCCAGGTTCTTACCTTTTTCTGGAGGGTGGTTTCCCTGGTCCAGTGGCAGGCTGAGGCAGATGGGAGTTCTCCTCCTCCCTGCCTTCCTCCTCCCGCGCGGCTATCTCCGGTGGGAGGAAGTGACGTCACTTCCTCCCAGCCGGCTGCAGAACCGGAAGAGGGGCCTGGTTGCGCTGTTTAAGCGCCACAGCGCCCGACCGGGCCCCTGCTGACACATGCTCCCCGGGTGGCCCTTAGTGCATGGGCCACCCGGGGAGCCTCCTCAGTGTGCGGGAGCCGCACCGCAGGGCCTGCGCAAATCGCGGGGCCCCCAGGAGCAAGTGGGCCCGGGGCAGCTGCACCGTTTGCCCCGCGTTAAAGACGGCCCTGCTTAAGGGGTTAATATCCAGTTGTTCAATGCAGTTAGCATTAAAGTATTGTTAAGTAATGGTAGTATGCCTGCCAATCTGATAGAATGCAGCCAATATATTTTAATGCATAAAGACTCATGGACAGTGAAGAAAGTGGAAGTCATATTTCTAGTTAATTTGCAAAATGTCCCAGTGGAAGCATTTGTTTAATAGGAGCTCCTAAGCTGTAGAGAGGAGGCAGGGAGCAGTGCCCAAGCAGACCCCAAGTAAAGGTCAAACCATTCTAAAACAGCTTGACTACATACAATGGGCTCCCTGAATATACACACTACAGCATACTGTAATGGTTATGGTGCTCAGAGTGTTCTTTTAAGTATTTTTTTCACAGAAGAAAAGCATTGGTAATCAATTCTCAGCAATGAGTTATAATGCAAATTGTGGGAACAATGAATCATGGGAAACTTAACATTTGTTTACAATCAACATGCCTTAGCAGGACATATAACTATATACAAATGGAACTTAATTGGAAAACAATTAAAATAATTAATAATTTTAATGATTTACACACATAAGAAAACTATGCTCAAATGTCAAATCATGTAACAATTACCTTAAAATATACATACAAGTACAATCACATTGCATTATTGAACTTTTTACAATATTTACTATATATACTATTTAAACTCTTCAGAACATCTAAGCAATTCAGTAAGACCAACTATGTTCCTAACTTTGGCCATGTCCTCTGTGTTAAAGGACCACTCTAGGCACCCAGACCACTTCAGCTTAATGAAGTGGTCTGGGTGCCAGGTCCAGCTAGAGTTAACCCATTTTTTCATAAACATAGCAGTTTCAGAGAAACTGCTATGTTTATGAATGGGTTAAGCCTTCCCCTATTTCCTCTAGTGGCTGTCTCACTGACAGCCACTAGAGGCGCTTGCGTGCTTCTCACTGTGATTTTCACAGTGAGAGCACGCCAGCATCCATAGGAAAGCATTATGAATGCTTTGCTATGTGACCGGCTGAATGCGCGCGCAGCTCTTGCCGCGCGTGCGCATTCAGCCGACGGGGAGGAGAAGAGGAGGATCAGAGGAGGAGCGCTCCCCGCCCAGTGCTGGAAAAAGGTAAGTTTTAACCCCTTTCCAGAGCAGGGCGGGAGGGGGTCCCTGGGGGTGGGGGCACCCTCAGGGCACTATAGTGCCAGGAAAACGAGTATGTTTTCCTGGCACTATAGTGGTCCTTTAAATATTAAAGGAACACTATAGTCAATTACTTTAGCTAAATAAAGCAGTTTTATATATACTAGACTGGCATTTGGATACATAGTGTGTATCCATGTATCGGTTAAAATAAGACCTCCGTGTCACTGTATAGAATGAATGAACACATTCTCCTCCCACCCACGGGACGAAACGCAACATTACCACACCTACTTTTTACTTGATTGACATAGAGATATAGGAGGAGAATACAGCACAGATGATGACTAATTCATTGATGGATAACACCCATGGATTGGTGCAGGAATTTCTGAGGGGAGTCGCCACACTCCCTTATAACCGGCTCCTAGCTCAGTTACTTTTTAGCTCTTGACAAAGGCGTATGGAAACGCCGAAACGCGCGTCGAGCATTTTGCCAATGCATTTACTTTTATTAAGCTTTTCTTAATTTTCTTTTTTTGTTTTATACCGGGATGTGACTGATGCCTTTATTATTTTCTTCCACTATGTGCTGATATATATTTATAGGGATATTATTAGGCTGCCTTGAAGTAGCAGTTAATTGATTTGGCCTATTTGTGGGCTAGAAAGTTAGTCCAGGGTATTTCCTGTTGTCCTCTCCAGTCATAGAGTTTGGAGGGGGCTCCTCTTGATTTTATTTGTGTGACTTAGTCACTGCTTTTGTTCCGTTTTATATGGACTTTAGATTTGGATTTACATTTTTACTGAAACTTCCATCTACTTTTACTAAGCGGGACTAATTATTTTCAGAGAGGTTTATTAGCAGGGACAGTTACATTTTACTAGTATTCGTCCACGTTCCTTTGTGGCTTTGCTTTGTAAATATGAGCTACTCGAGTATTTTTGGGGGGCACCCCTGATAGTGACTACAGTCAAGTCCCTTTATTATATTGCCATTTTACCCACTACCGGGCACCTACGATCTCAGCAACACTACCAACCGATCTTGTTGTTATTAGCGCTATATGGTATATTTTACCAGTTCTATGTGGATCAGTCTAAAACACTTGCTCCTTCCCTCATTTATATTTGTTTATATATTGTAGATTTCTATGGTTTTACCTTGACCTCTCTGAGGCTATATATGATTCACCATAGTGTACTCTACAATCTGTATACAATAATGCTTGTATGAGGTTTAGGAGCATTGTCCCAGGTATCTTTTAAGATTTTCTTTACCCTTACTTCATCACCATTTTCACACATTTTTTGTATATTTATTTTGGGTAGATTGCTTATATATGTTTAGTTAATAAAGGTTATTACCATATATTTTTGTAACGTTTATTCTAGGAAGTATTTTTGGAATGTGATTGAATCCCATTCACTATAAGTGACTGGTCTTTCCATCCCATTCTTTCAGTTTGTCACTTTTGTTCTTCTTTATGCCACCCTACCCATTTCTCCTTTATCTCATAAATGCCAGAGAATTGAGCAGTGAGACTGCAGGTGCACAATCTATACACCAAAACCACTCCATTAAGCTAAAGTTGTTTTGGCACTTATAGTGTTACTTTTCGGGCATTCATAGAATTTTCCCTAAGCCACTCTAACAGTTCCTAAGCTGTGTGCTTAATATCATTTTCCTTTAAGAAGATGAACCTTTTGCCCAGTCTGAGGTCCTGAGCATTCTCTGAGCATTCTGCACCAAAATTTCATTAAGAATATCTCTTTATTTTGTGGCATTTTCCTCAAACCTAACTAGTATCACAGTCCCTGCCACTGAAAAACACAAATATATAATGTGACAACCACCATGTTTTACTGTTGGGATGAGTGGTGGTTGGTTTCGTCCACATGGGATAGTTTGAATTGAGGTCAAACAGTTCAATATTCAAATAATCACACCAGAGAATATTGTTTCTCACAGAGCCCTTTCTCACAGAGCCATAAAATCCAGATTGGTGGAGTGTTGTAGTGTTGTGATGGTTGTCCTTCTGCAATCACCCCCCCCCCCCCATCTCCAAACATAATCTCTGGAAGAAGAGTGACAATCTGGTCACCTCTCTCACCTCTCTCATCAAGGTGATTCACCCTGATTGCTCACTTTGGCCAGATGACCAGCTCTTGAAAGACTTCTGGTTGGTCCAAACTTATTCCATTTAAGAGTTATGGAGGGCACTGTGTTCCTTCGTACCTTGAATGCAGCCAAACTGTTTGTAGCCTACCCCAGATCTGTGACTTAACACAATTTTGTTTCTGAGCTCTGCATGCCGTTCCGTTGACCTCATGACCTGGTTTATGCTCTAATATGCATTTATAGCTGTGAGACCTTATATAGACAGGTGTATGCCTATCCAAATAATGTCCAATTATTAGCATTTGTGACAGGTGGACATTTCCAATCAAAATGTATAAACATTTCAAAGATAATCCAGAGAACTAAAATGCATCTGGGTTACATTTCAAGTGTTATAGCAAAAGGTCTAAATACTTATGTCAATGAGACATTGCAGTTTTTGTCCTTTTTAATAAATGTGCAAAGTTTAAAAAAAATAAGGCAGAGATATGAGTTCCTGCAAAGA